TCTACTCTACTCTACTCTACTCTACTCTACTCTACTCTACTCTACTCCACTCCACTCCACTCCACTCCACTCCACTCCACTCCACTCCATTCCAATATTTCTATTCTATTCTATTCTATTCTATTCTATTCTATTCTATTCTATTCTATTCTATTATTCTATTCTATTCTATTCTTGTTGTTTTTATTTCTTTTATATTGTGTACATAAGTACTGTAAGTCGCCTTGTGCAAGTAGGCGGCAATATAAATGTTCTAAATAAATCAATAATAAATAAACAGGATGGCAAGAAAGCATGCCAACTCAGAGGGCACTAAGGACCCCTCCTTTTAAACCTGAGCTACCAATATTATCCTTTATTGATGATACCTAAATGGGCAGATGAAGTGTCGAATAAATCATGATGCTTGATGTAGGGCTGCCTTTGCCAGGGAATACCGAGCAGGGGGGTTAGACTATAGATGACCTCTAGGGTCCCTTCCAACTCTGTGATTCTGTAGGGGGTCTTCTGCTTGGACTACATGACCTCCAAGTCTGTGATTCTGTGACCTTTTTAATTTTAGCTTTTTCTCTCTCTCTAGGCTGGACCAGGAGGAGGGATGGCAAAGGCTGGCGGGAGGAACCTTCAGCCGGCTTAGGCGAAGAAATATCATCTTGAAGGCGCCCTTTTAAAAAGGAAGGGCTGAAGGAAGTTTTGGAGTCTCCACTCAAGGGTTAAGGAAAACGAGTCACGAAGCCTAGAGGGACCACTAAAGAGCAGGAGGAGGAGAAAAGGAAGCGGAGTCCCGTCTACGCCCCCTCCCTGGCAAAGAAGCCTTGGAATTTCGCGGTTCCATTTGCGGGGTGGTCCTGAGGGAGGCTGGGCCTGATAAGTGCCCTTGGAAGCCCCAGACCTTGAAAGGCGAGGGTTAAGGAAAAGGTGGATTTAATCGGCAGAACCCGGGCAACCAAGAAAACTCCTGTTGCTTAACTCTTTGTTGTTGTTCAGCTGCTAAATGCTGGGCTCTTTGCGACTCTATGGAGCAGGTTCTCCAAACTTGGTCCCTTTAAGACTTGTGGACTTCAACTTCAAATAAGATATTTTCAAGCCTCTAGTTGGCAGTGTTGCAAAATTTCTTAAAACCACTCCCCCTTCTTCCCCCTTAAAAAAGCCTAAAAAGAACGAAAATATATGTATATATATTTAATTTAAAGAAAAAAATACTAAAGGGGGCCTCTATTTTATAAAATATAAACAGTCAAAAAGGAGAAAAAAGAACTAGTAAATATAAAAGAAAAAAAACCAGTCTGCTTAACTAGATCACCATAGAAGTTCAATGAAAGAAAAAAAAAAAAAAGGTAAAAGTAAAAAGCCAAGCCTCACTTTGACATTTCTCTTTAAAAATCGCCGCTAAGTCAGTTTTGTCAAGAATCTTACAGATTTCTTCTCATTCTTAGAGTGTCCTTTAGTCCTGAATATTAACATTAAAAAAAAAGTCCTCACCAAGCCGATACACTTTCTCTTGCGATCTCTTCCTTCCAGAGCTGTCCCAGCTTCAGCAGCTTAATGGCTGCCTCCCCGCCGATGGTAAAAGGGCTTCTTCTGGATCAACCAGGGACCTGCGATGTCCCTGGGATCTACAGAACGCGCCCCTTACTATCACCGTCTCTACGGGACGGTTTAGGTCCGTTGGGACCGACCAGGAGCGGGGATATCAGTTGCTATCTCAGAGCCCCGAGATAGCAGCTGTATCGCAGCGACGAGACTCCACCTTCTCCCTGTTTTCTATCTTCTCTCTGTTTTCTATCTTTTTCTTTCTATTCTTTTTTCTCTCTTTCTTGTCTTCTTTTTCTCTCTTGCATTTATGTGTGTGTTGTTGGTCTATTTTAATTGTAAAATTAATAAAGTATATTTTTTTAAAAAAGAAAAAAAGTCAAGAGGGCAGCCATGACCATGAGATGGAAGACCTACACATTTTCAATTTGCAACACTCCTAAAAAAAGGGGGGGAAGGGCTTCAACTGCAGAGACAAAAATCACAACTTGATTTTCTTGGCTTCCTCTGTGGAGGCTTCAAATTCTATTGAGAAATAGTGGTAGAAATATTTTTGAGAAGGTGCCACCCTTTTTGTATGCATTTTCAAACCTCTCTTCCGGATTTCTTAAAAGTTATCAATGGGTTCTTGGGGACAACATACAGTATCCTCGATGTGCAAGCACAGTGCAGCCCAACATTTCCATTGCTAAGCTAGATAGTCGTTAAGCGGGTTGTGCCCCATTTTACAACCTTTTGTTGCAAGTTGTTAAGCGAATCATGCTTCATCATTAAATGAATCTAGTTTCCCCCTCATTGACTGTGCTCGTCAGAAGCCAGCTGGGAAGGTTACAAATGGTGATCATATGATCCCAGGACAGTACAACTATCATAAATATAACCCAAAGCATCTGAATTTTGATTATAGGACCGTGGGAATGCTGCAACCATCCAAAGTGTGAAAAATGGTAATTTCCTTTTTTTCAGTGCCATTGTAACTTTGAATGGTCAATAAATGAAATGTTGTAAACCAAGGATTACCTGTAAAGGAATTACAGGGTCATGAAATGAGAAAAGAGAGAAAATAATATTGAAAATAGCTGTATAAATATATTTGAGAAGGTGCCACTCTCTTTCTATGCTTTTTCAAGCCTTCTGGATTTCTTTAAAGTACCTGCAGATGCCTAGAGACCTTGTGTGTGTGTGTGTGTGTGTTCCAGAATTTCATTTATAAAACATTAAAGTTTATCTTCTTTTTTTAAACTTTCTTTGCTGTCACTCCACTGACTTTCCTCATTTCAGTCTAAATTTCAGCATTCCTATTGACGAATCTAACCAAAGCGAGCACGATCGAGACAATCCAATCTCTGAATGCAAAACTTTATTGAGTACATCGTTTCGCCACTGATTAGGGCAAAACCAGCTAATTCCCACGCAAGCCCACATAATTAAAAGTATAGGATTCTTCCCCCAGTGTTGCAGGTTATATTGTCCAATTGAGTTTCATTGTATTGTCATGAGAAAAAGTCTTTGGCTTTGGCAAATAACTGCTGAAGTGTCCTTGGCTCTGACACTCCTCTTCATGATATCTGGAACTACATTGCATCTCCCTGGTTCATTGGCAAGGCAAGAAGCGATAATGGTTGCAACAGCAAAAGCACGCTTCGAATCTTGGCACCAATCCTAGAGTGGTATCTATTACTGGGGGGAATGGGGGAAGCCAATGACATATGTGCACTGCACTGTCCTAATACCAATCCTGTAATTTAGAGACATGTGTCAGAGAAAGAAACCTAGGAAGGACCCGTCCTAATGGATCAAACAGTTAAAAAGTGACGACAGGAGATTTATACCTTCAGAATTGCAAGGTTCTATTCATATAGCCTTACAATAAAGTAGAATAACAGAGTCATAGCAGATGCTATTGTATTTCTCCTCAGACCTTTTATTTTTTGGGTTAAGCATGTCAGAATAACAAAACAACAGAGTTGGAAGGGACCTTGTAGGTCATCTAATCCAACCCCCTGCTCAAGAAGGAGACCCTATACCATTTCTGACAAGTGGCTGGTCAGTTTCTTCTTAAAAGGCTCCAGTGATGAAACACCCACAACTTCTGAAGGCAAGCTGTTCCACTGGTTGATTGTTCTCACTGTCAGCTAATTTCTCCTTATTTCTAGGTTAAATCTCTCCTTGATCAGTTTCCATCCATTGTTCCTTGTCTGGCCTTCGGGTACTTTGGAAAATGGTTTGACCCCCACTCCTCTCTGTGACAGCCCCTCAAATACTGGAACACTGATATCATGTCATCCTTGGCCCTTCTCTTTACTAGAGTAGTCGTGCCCAATTCCTGCAACCGTTCTTTGTATGTTTTAGCCTCCAGCCCCCTAATCATCATGGTTACTCTTCTCTGCACTCTTCATAGAGTCTCAACATCTTTTTTACAGTGTGGGAACCAAAATTGGATGTAGTAATGTAGGTGAGATATAGCTCAACTAATTGTATTGCCTGTCCAGTTTAATTAGATGGACTGACCCTTTTTTCCCCTTAAATTATGGACACCTTTTTTTAAAAAAACTATCATACACGCAGCAAAGAATTACAGAATGCTTAGTGGAAAAAAAGCTGCCCAGCATTTCTAAGATATAGAAGTATTTGAGATACCCAATTGAACATAAAATTACATTTTTATTTTTACCCAAGAAAAGATCTCCCTATTCTCCACCCTACCCCACCCCAAAATTAGAAAGACAAAGTCTTCAGCACTACAGCATGCCATTTAAATTGCTACCAGGACTGGTGGAAATATACATTTGATTCCCTTTTGGGAAATAATCAATAAAGTGTCCAGCTATGAGAAGAAAAACAAAGGAGCTACCTTGATCCTGAAAACATTTATTTATTTATTTATTCATTCGTTCATTCATTCAGGTTCTATAGCCACCCATTTCAGTCAATGACACTGGGTGGCTTACAGTTGAAAAAAACGTGTTACAATCAAAATATTAAAACATTTTAGTACTGAGCATTTAATACGTTTGTATATAAAATCATATTCCTCCTTAGTTTCTACGGGATTCATTCTTTCCGATAATGTGCTATTCCAGAAAACATGAGCTGAATCCTTATGCTTTATATGTGGACTTCCTTGATATCATCTGTCATGGAAGAAAAGTTAGTGAGTAAGAAAGTAAAAAAAGTTGATAAAAAAACAAAGTTTAGGTGGGCATGAGGCAGAACGCCAAAATGAAATCACCCCCTCCTCATTTTGTCCGCACACAGACTAAATGGACAAATTGTCATTCTAAAAGAAGCCAGAGAAGTAACGATAGGTGGTCCTTAACATACAACCCCAACTGAGCCCAAAGTTTCTATTGCTAAGCGAGTTAAGTGAGTTTTACAACCTTTCAAGCCACAGTTGTTAAGTGAATCACTGCAGTTGTTAAGCTACTAATATGGTTGACTGCCCCATTGATTTTGGTCATCAGAAGGTCGCAAAAGGTAACCATGTGATCCCAGAACACTGCAACCATTATAAATATTAGCTAGTTGCCAAGCATCCAAATTTTAATCAAGTGACCAAGGGAATGCTGCCGTGGTCATAATGGCGAAAACTATTGTAAGTCACTGTTTTCCGTGCCGTTGTAACTTTGAACAGTCACCAAATGAATGGTTTTGGACTCAGTTATGGTCGTAAATACAGGAGTACATGTAACTAAAAACATTTGGGCCAATGGTAGCTCATGCTTTACCTGTACTGCAGGGGGCAGTGTACTTGGCTGTTGCAAATTCACCTGGAACACAAAAAAGGAAAGTTTGTCAGGGCTGAGGTGTCTCTCTCCTAGACTTTGATCTACATCATATGGTTCATGGTATGGATTTTGCTCCAGGAGTACAAAGCGGTTGTCCTCTAATTTTACATGCAAATGTTGTGCGAGAGATAATTTTATCTCTCATTAAAAATCCTGAACTCTCCCCAAGAATCGGATGGATTTTTCCCACCAAGCAGTGCTTTAAGGTAGCAGTTCCCAACCTTTGCAGTGAGGGACAGGGGAACCAGGCCACGTAAGCAGTGGCTTGGCGTGCACACACACACAGGCATGTAGCTCAACTTATGTGAGTTAAGACGCATGCATGTCCGCTCATGCACCAATCCAACACTCCCTTGAGCTACATGCACATGCGTGCCAGCCTGCTTCTCACAGAACTCAGTTCTGAATAGCCCATTGCTTGGTACAGGGCCATGGCCAGGGGGTTGCGGATCCCCGCTGTAAGGGCCAAACACATGCCCACTTTCGGCAAAGCCGAAAGCCGTTAATTTTTCCTCTTTTTGAGCCCTAAACCTCCCAATGCAAAAGGAAGAAAAAATTTCGAACAACCTCATGTTGAAAAATAATTAATTAAACAAGCTGATCGGAAGTACCACCATTCAGTCCCCTTCTCACCAATTTCATAATAATCATAGACTTTGACCAAGGCAGGCTTCAGACCCTGGACGGGTGTCTCCTGCTCCACTGTAAAGGAGAAAGTCTGGCTTGTGTTGCGTACCTGCAGAGAAAAATGAGATTATGGACAAGACGGAGAGGTTTCTGCAGGCAACACATTGTATAGCCCTTTTTGTTCTCTGAGCTTTGTTGTTTCCGTTATACCTGACTCGGTATCATCATCAGTGCTGGTGAAGTTGAATTTGTTACCTGTTTATACCCAGTAGCTTGCTCTGCCTGTGTTGGTGGGGTTTTTTCTCCTTGATAGTTTTTTACTTGGTTGTTTTCTGCTTGATTGTTTATCTGGTATTAGCCTCTGCTTATCTAGGTGAAGGCTACTGGAGAGGATGTCATCTGGTCATTTTGTTTCTTTCTTAGCTTTTTATTGTCTTTTCTGAATGGTGTGTCCTTCATTTCTGTGTCCATTGAAGGCTGATTTATCTGAATGCTAAGCTTCCAGGAATCCCATAGCGCTTTTGGATTTAGCTTGGTCTGAGCTACATATGGTAGCTTGTCACGAGCTATATACATCTTTAAAATGTTGAACTACATATATTCCCTTTTATTGGAGACCTCACGCTGGCAGGGATCCTTAAAAACCCTGGATGTATTTTGACATGGCTACCATAGGGGTGAGAAATCAAGCACTACTACAGGATATTGTTCCAGGGGGGTGGGACCAGACCTAATAAAAGAGAAAGTGAAGTTGTGCTACATATATGAAATAGTTACGTCTCTACAGAAATGCAATGGAAGTCTCTATGTCCCTAGGAAGACCGCCAATCTCTTTCAACATTCTTGAGCTGAAAGGAAAAGGCCTAAAATATACTGTAAAGGGAAGGATGGGCATTGTAAAATCCAATCTATCTGGAGCTTTCAATCTTCCTTTTCTTTGTGTCCTAAAACTGTTGGATCGCTTTTTCTCCCTAAACAGATTAAAGGCAAAAAAAAATCCTGAAGCTAAAAGAGAGCTTTGAAGTCACCCAGCCCATCACCAGCTCACTACAGGAA